ATGTACAGAAGAAAAGGAAGGGGAGCAGAAGGATGGAGAGAGAAAAGTAAGATAGGGATGCCTGTACCATGAGCTTTGTGTTTGCTTATGGAATAGCAGGAGGCTGTTGAGTTGTACATTAACAGTGTGGGGCAAACAAAGCAGGTCATAGCCCCTCTGGGATCTGAAAGGTCAGATTGCCTATTACTGTTTAGTTCTGGAATAAAGAGTCTCATACAAAAACCAGCCTAAGCCAGGTGGTAGTGGCTCATGCCTGTAATCCAGCAAGCTGAGATCTGATCAGCAAGGTTCAAAGCCAGTCTGAGTAGGAAAGTCCATCAGACTCTTTTTTTTTTTTTTTTTTTGGTCGGCCGTGGGGCTTGAACTCTGGGCCTGGGCGCTGTCCCTCAGCTCTTCAGCTCAAGGCGAGCGCTCTACCACTTGAGCTACAGCGCCACTTCCGGTTTCTGGTGGTTTATTGGAGATAGGAGTCTCACAGTCTCTCCTGCCCGGGCTGGCTTTGCACCACAATCCTCAGATCTCAGCCTCCTGAGTAGCTAGGATTACAGGCGTGAGCCACCAGCACCCGGCTTCCATCAGACTCTTATCTCCAGTTAACCACCAAAAAAGCTGAAAGTAGAGTTGTTGCTGAAGTGGTAGAGCACTAGCCTTTAGTGAAAAAGAAAACAAACAAACTCAGGGACAGTGACTAGAGTTCAAGCCCCCCAAAAAAACACCAAAAAAACAACCCAAAACCAAAAAACAACAAAAAACTAACAGGTAGGCAGCAACAAACATGAATGATTTCTATAACTAGTCAGAAATTTGGAAGGAAAAAGAATATAGTTGGTTCCAGGGGCTGGGAAGGTGGCTCAGTGGTAGAACGCTTGCCTTGCATGCCTGAGGCCCTGGGTTCGATTCCTCAGCACCACATAAGCAAAAAGAAAAAAGCCGGAAGTGGTGCTGTGGCTCAAGTGGTAGAGCGCTAGCCTTGAGCTGAAGAACTGAGGGACAGCACCCAGGCCCAGAGTTCAGGCCCCACGACCGGACCCCAAAAAAATTAAAAAAATATGTAGTTGGTTCCAAAAGGAGAACTAATTGGGAGACCATGAGAATTACCTTTAAATTACATATCCTGCACTCACTAGACACTATGTGGGAAATGAACTGTATATCTTGTGAGTGGGAATGGGAGGGAAAAACTGGGAGAGAGCAAGGGAAGGGGAGACATAGCTCAAAAAGAATTGTACTCATTACCTGATTCATATAACCGTAACCCCTTGTACATCATCTCTACTAAGTAAATGGAGAATTAGAACCAATGAGTAGACTTTATGGAAGTTAAATTTGTGCTTGATATAAGGGAAAACTGGATTTAAAAAATGAAGCTGTATGAGAAGAATTAATGATCTCACATTCCAAATCCTAGATCGTGGAGAAATGGGAGGGTAGCTTTTGAATTTCAGTGGGACCAGTTAGGCAAAATGCTGCTTCAAAGGAGATACCCTCCCTAATTGGGGAGTCTTGCTACTTTCATTTATAACTTTCTTTCCACCTTCAAATAAACTTTCTCAGTTTACCTTAATAAAATTCTATGCTTCTCTGTCCAAACTTCAAATCTGTGGAAATGACATATCTCTCATTCTCTCTCTCTCTCTCTCTCTCTCTCTCTCTCTCTCTCACACACACACACACACACACACATGGAAATGAGATGGGTAAAGAAGCCCTTCCCTAAAAGAGAAGTTCCTGGAGAGAAGTCTCCGAACACAGGAAATGAAGCCCATGGTAATTGTTGGGGAAAACACTGCTCCAGGGAGAGATGAGGACAAGCACTCTTCCACATGGAAGGGAAGCTGACTTCAGTTCCACATTGAAGGGAAGCTTCTGTCTCTCAGGAGGGAGAGACAGAGACACAAAGTTTGAAATAGTTCGTGTTTGAGGAAACAGTTACAGGAAGCTGATGGCCCTTTAGTTGTCCTGTTGCAAAAGTCCAGATGAAACCAGTGACCTCTTGTGTCTCCCAGGTCTGAGAAGCTATTGAAGCCATAAAAAGAAGGAAAGGATTTTGTGTGTGTGAAATGGTTGTTGCTAGCCTCCACTTTGCACCATTCCCACATCATCTTTTATGTTTCCTTTCTTTTCTTTTTTGTCAGTCGTGGGGCTTGAACTCTGGGCCTGGACGCTGTCCCTCAGCTCTTCAGCTCAAGGCTGAAGAGCCCACAGTGCCACTTCCAGTTTTCTGGTGGTTAACTGGAGATAAAGTCTCATGGACTTTCCTGCCCAGGTTGGCTTTGAACCACTATCCTCAGATTTCAGCCTCCTGAGTAGCTAGGATGTAGCTAGGATGACAGGCATGTACAACCAGCACCCTGCTTGTTCTTTAGCTTGTTTGATCAAAGGCTTAGACTCTAACATTTGAGCTACAGCTCCATTTCTAGCTTTTTGGTGGCTCAATGGACATAGAGTCTCAGGGACTTTTCTGCCTGGGCTGGGTTTGAATCTAGATCCTCAGATTGCAGCCTCCTGAGCAGCTAGGATTTCAGGGGTGAGCCACCACTAGCAGCTCTAAACCAGAAATCTTAAACAGCACTCTATGGTGGCGTACTTGGTTAACATACATGAGGTCCCAGGTTTGATCCTCAGCAAAAATAAAATAATAGCAATGACAGTAAGACCAAACAGAGAAAGGCTATCTATGGACAGGTTATGGTTGCTAGATGGAGGCTTCTGCTTCACACCTTGCCCCATCCTTACAGATGGCCCACTTTTCTGGTTGAACTGTTTGTCAATTAGTCATTTCTGATATGTGAAGCTCTCTGCCTAGATGTCCTCAGTTCTTTCTCTTTTTAGCTGTGCTATTCTTTTAGACACTGCATAGCCTATTTTCTCTGAACAATTGTGCTCTGCATTGTAACCCAAAGAGAACCTTTTGGAGAACCTTTCAGTCCAAAGGACAATCATTTTTCTTGGTCCTCCTTTGAGATGGTGGATCTATTAGGATAGAGAGGGACTAGACACCCTGTGGTTCCTCAGCATTGAATCCGGTGGGTCTGATACCCAGTGTATTAGTTTCTTACTACTGCTGTAACAAATTGTCACAACTTAGTGTCTTACAACTATGCATACTAGCATAGTAGCACACTAGCTCACTCCTATAATCCTAGCAATTCAGAAGGCTGAGGATTGTGGTTTGAAGACAGCTTGGGCAGGAAAGTCTGTGAGATGATTATCTCTAGTTAACCCCTAAAAATCTGAAAGTGGAGGTATGTGTCCAATGGTAGAGCATCAATCTTGAATGGAAAAGAGCTAAGGGGCAGCATCCAGGCCCTGAGTTCAAACCCTAGTACCAAAACAAAGAAACAAAAAGCTACACATACTGATTATCTCCTAGTTGATAGGGATCAGAAGCCTGCCATGGGCCTTGCTGGGCTAAAACCATGGTGTCAGCAGGGCTGTGTCCCTGATGGAGGGTCCGGGGATCATCCATTTCCTTGTCCATTCTGGCTCCTCCAAGCTCCCTGCATTCCTTGGCTCGTAGCCTCTTCCTTTGTGTATCAAGCAACAAGTATAGTTTCTTCCAGTCTTTCTCTGACAAGGCCTACTATTTTGTCTTCCAGGCACTACTCTTCATCTTAAAGCCAATTTTTCAGCAGTCCTCATTCCATTGGCAGCCTTATTTCCCCTTTAACAGAGGCAACCAAGTTCTTGGGATTAGCCTCTGGACATCTTCATGGGGGAAGTGCATTATTCTGCCTACCAAACCTAGCAAGCAGAATGAATGAATGAATGAATGCATAAGGAATGCATGTAAACTTTCAGAGGGTAGGTATTGTGCTAGCTATAAATAGGCAGAAAAGATTAAGTCTGTGACTTAAGGAAGGAAGTTTGTGATCTGTGGGACTCTGGGGGATGGAGAAGGTTTTTAGGAACCACCATTGCTCTCTTGGGCTCTCAGCTTAAGCATCTCTGACTCCTAAAAGCTTTCCCTGAGACCCAGATTTCTATCAGACTCCTTGTCTGTGCTCCCAAGCACACGCCTTGACAGACTCATGCGTCCTTTGGCTCAGAGTGGCACTTCCATGAATGCCCTTTTCCTAGATTTGAAGGATCATGAAAGCAATAACTCATATTTTTTTGACTTATACAATCAGGCAGAGGGCCTGGCATATGTTAAGTTTCCAAATATGTATCAAAAAAGAAAGAGAGAGGGGCTGGGAAGGTGGCTCAGTGGTAGAGTGCTTGCCTTGCATGCCTGAGGCCCTGGGTTCGATTCCCCAGCACCACATAAGCAAAAAGAAAAAAGCCGGAAGTGGTGCTGTGGCTCAAGTGGTAGAGCGCTAGCCTTGAGCTGAAGAGCTGAGGGACAGTGCCCAGGCCCAGAGTTCAGGCCCCATGACCAGACGCCCCCCAAAAAAAAGAAAAAGAAAAAGAGAGAGAGAGAAGAAAGGAAGGAAGGAAGGAAGGAAGGAAGGAAGGAAGGAAAATCAGGAGTCGGTGGCTCACACCTGTGATTCTAGCTATTCAGGAAGCTGAGATATGAGGATTGTGATTCAAAGCCAGCCTGGCTCTTATCTCCAATTAACCCCCCCCCAAAAAAAAAGCCCTAGGTGGAACTGTGGCTTGAGTTATAAAATGGTAGACTTGAGCAAAGGAAAGCTCAGGGACAGCACCCAGGCCCCAAGTTCAAGACTCAGGAGCAGCGCACGTGCGCGCGCGCGCACACACACACACACACATACACACACGAGCAAATAAATGAAAAGACTACAAGCTTGTCCTACATGGGGACTTTGTGACTGGGGTCCTGGGCCTTTCACTGTGTTATGTAAAGCTGGGAAGGCAAGTGGCTGATCACATCATCACTGGAGGCCATAACCAAGAAGTGAAGTTCTGCTGTAAGTACACAGAGTTTAGAGGTGAGGTATTTTGACAGAGTAAGAGGGTGCTGTGTTGTTCCAGGAAAGACCGTCTGATTTTTCTCTGATGCTGACTGCATTTATGTCTCTGCTCTCTGTTAGGAGAGGAGACGGTGCTACCTCTGCTGACCCAGGACTCCAGTTCCAAAGCTCGGAGGGGCATTTTGAGAAGAGCTGTGTTTTCAGAGGATCAGAGAAAGGCTCTGGAGAAAATGTTTCAGAAACAGAAATATATTAGCAAAACAGACTGAAAGAAGCTTGCTGTCAATCTGGGACTAAAGGAGTCACAGGTAATAATGCATAGGAACTTGTCTCCTGTTCCTAATTTCTAAAAGGTAAAATGAAATCTGTTCATTTAGCATCTATTACCTGGTCTGGGCATAATGCTAGACCATGAGATGTTCTTGAAATGCTTTTATAATTTTTCTAGTGGATAGAAATCTCCATGACACCTAGGTTCCAGGGATTCATGCTTGTAGTCTCAGGAGGCTGAGATCTGAGGATTGGGGCTTGAAGCCAGCCTGGGCAGGAAAAGTCTATGAGCCTATTATCATAAATTAACAAACAAATGGGCTGGGAAGGTGGCTCAGTGGTAGAGTGCTTGCCTTGCATGCATGAAGCCCTGGGTTTGATTCCTCAGCACCACATAAGCAGAAAAAGCTGGAAGTGGTGCTGTGCTCAAGTGATAGAGCACTAGCCTTAAGCTGAAGAGCTAAGGGACAGCGCCCAGGCCCAGAGTTCAGGCACCATGACTGACAAAAAAAAATTAACAAGCAAAAATCCAGAAATGGAGCTGTGGCTCAAGTGGTAGAGTGCCAGCCTTGAGCAAAAAAAGCTAAGGGAAGCCGGGCACCGGTGGCTCATGCCTGTAATCCTAGCTACTCAGGAGGCTGAGATCCGAGGATCACGGTTCAAAGTCAGCCTGGGCAGGAAAGTCCGTGAGGGCACTGTGGCTTAAGCGGTAGAGCACTAGCCTTGAGCTGAAGAGCTGAGGGACAGTGCCCAGGCCCAGAGTTCAAGCCTTATGACCGACCAAAAAATAAAAATAAAAAAGTATAAAGGAATGAAAGGCTAGAAGAGGTTTGGTCTTTACTATCTGTCACTACAAATGACCTAGGGACCTTATTGAGTAATATACTTGATATACTTGGGATCTTATTAAAACAAGTCGTTGTATAAAACTCTCCCTAACTTTACTTCCTTTCTCCAAGGATGTGATCTGTTTCCACAAACTGCCTTTCACCCCCAACTTTTGCAAGTAGTAATAAGCAGCCTGTAGTATACTACTGGGTGATTGATCAAGATTGCTTCAGATTGATCAAGATATCTTTTCACTCCATGGTAGAACCAATTGTTCTGTTTGTCACCTAAGTGTACAAGAACAAGACCTGAGTATAGCAGCTCATGCCTGCTCCTCCAGAGGTAGGGTTTAGAAGCATTGTAGTTCAAGGCCAGCCCAGACAAAAAAGTTTGCAAGAGTCCCATCTCAATCAGTGAGGCACTGTGGCTCTTGCTTGTCATCCAAGCTGTGAGGGAAATGTAAATAGGAAGATCACAGTCCAGACTAGTTTGGATAGAAAAAAACACAACAACAAAAGCAAAAAGGACTAGGGGCATATCTCAAGTAGTAGAGCACCTGCCTAGAAGTTCAAAATCATGTCCTAACTGAAAATAAAAAGAACAAGAAGTGGCTCTGTGGCTCAAGTGGTGCTTGCCTTGAGCAGAAGAGTACAGGGGCAGTGCCCAGGCCCTGAGTTCAAGCCCCACAACCGCTTGCCCCCCCCCAAAAAGATAAAGAACTAAAATTCTGTCTCATCAGTGTATTTTTGTATACTAACAGATAAGATAGTAGCTATATTTTCTTTCTTTTTATTCTGGTCGGTTGTAGGGACTGGGCCTGGGCTCTGTCCCAAAGCTCTTCAGCTCAAGGCAAGGGCTCTACCACTTGAGCCACAGTGCCACTCCTGGTTTTCTGGTTGTTAACTGGAGAGAACAGTTTCACAGACTTTCCTGCCCAGGCTGGCTTTGAACTGAGATCCTCAGATCTCATCCTCCTAAGTAGCTAGGATTACAGGCATGAGACACCAGCGCTTGGCTAGTAGCTATATTTTCAAGGCCCATTTTGTTCAGGTAACTGCACCAGGTAGGCAGTAAGATACTGAGCAATGCTTTGTATCCCCAGAAACACATACCCCAGTGAATGGGAACTCAGGAGAAGTTGAATAACACATTTGTACTCCTAGCTACTCAGGAAGCTGAGATCTGAGGATCATGATTCAAAGCAAGTAGAAAAGTCCATGAGTCTGGTATTTCCAATTAACCAGTAAAAAGCCAAAGTGGAGCTGTGGCTCAAGTGGTAGAGGAGAGCACTAGCCTTGCACAAAAATAGACCTCAGGGACAGCACCCGGGACCTCCTTTCAAACCCCAGCACACACACACACACACACACACACACACACACACACACACACAGAGAAATCTAAATTGTTAGCCAGGCACCAGTGGCTCACTCCTGTCATCCTAGCTACTCAGGAGGCTGAGATCTGAGGATTGTGGTTCAAAGCCAGCCTGGGGAGGAAAGTCTGTGAGGATCTTATCTCCAATAAACCACTAGAAAACCAGAAGTGGCGCTGTGGCTCAAGTGGTAGAGTGCTTGCCTTGAGCTGAAGAGCTGAGGGATAGCACCAGGCCCAAAGTTCACGCCCCACGACCAACAAGATAGAAAGAAAGAAAGAAAGAAAGAAAGAAAGAAAGAAAAGAAAGAAAGAAAGAAAGAAAGAAAGGGGCTGGGAAGGTGGCTCAGTGGTAGAGCGCTTGCCTTGCATGCTCGAGGCCCTGGGTTCCATTCCTCAGCACCACATAAGCAAAAAGAAAAAAGCCGGAAGTGGCGCTGTGGCTCAAGTGGTAGAGCGCTAGCCTTGAGCTGAAGAGCTGAGGGACAGCGCCCAGGCCCAGAGTTCAGGCCCCACGACCGGACCCAAAAAAAAAAAAAGAAAGAAAAAGAGAGAGAAAGAGAGAGAGACAGAAAGAGAGAAAGAGAAAGAAAGAGAGAGAAAGAGAAAGAGAGAGAGAGAAAAAGAAAAAGAAATCTAAATTGTTAGAGCAAAGAATAAATATGATTGGCTTTCAAGATGTCAGAAAAACAACTGGGAAGTTTTCTCTTTGGGGATCCTGATGAAGTTTACAGTGGATAAAGTTTAATAATTGAGAGATAGTCAACATGGGTGTGCCAAGAGAAAGTATGGTTCAAATTAGAAACCACCACCACAAGCATTTTTGGCTTAATTGCAATCAGTTTTTACTTAGTGAGCTTAATGATCATAGTTTGATAAGTCCTAGTAGTAATCAAAACTTGGAAGCTGTAGAAAGCCAACAATTTATCAAAGCATTGTAAAAATGTAGTATTGTGTGTGTGTGTGTGTGTGTGTGTGTGTGTGTGTGTACAGAACTCAGCCTAGGCACTGTCTCTGAGCTTTTTTACTCAAGGCTGGCACTTGACCACTTGAGCCACAGCTTTACTTCTGGCTTTTTGGTTTTTAATTGGAGATAAGAGTCTCATGGACTTTTCTGCTAGTCTGGCTTTGGACACAGATCCTTAGATCTCAACCTCCTGAGTAGCCACCTGAGTGTCCAGCTAAAATGTATTCTTAAACTCAGAAAGCTTCTAGTTAGATTCACTAGAGCCAGGATGCAGGATCCAGGACAGTCATGGTTCTAGTCTTAAGTGCTTCTATTTTACTAGCTGGTTACTCAATCCAAATATCAGTTTCCTTCTCTGTGAAATGAAGTCTTTTCATAGTCATCAGGGGGATCCAGGGATAGAATTTGCCACAGGTGCATGGCCTAATGCCTAACAAAAAGTAGACACTAGTTAGTACACTTCATTTGAATAAATAAGTTCCTACAGGCTAAATGATGTTTCATAATACTTACAAGCATGAAATCTGGCTGGGAGCCTTAGATACTCAGAAGGTTGAGCTCTGAGGCTTGAGGTTCAAAGCCAGCTAGGACATAAAAAGCATGTAAGACTGCTAGCTCCAATTGAACAGCAAAAATCTGGAAATGGAGCTGTGGCTCAAGTGGTAGACTGCCAGCCTTGAGCAAAAAAGTGAAAGGACAGTTCCCACCCCAAGAAGACTAGTCTCAGAACTGGCATGCAAAAAGAATTAAAAAAATGAAATCCGTTTTGAAAGGTATCATATATACAGAATATTAAGCAATTAGCAGCAATGGCACAGTTTTCAGAGATAAAATTTCTCAGATATATTTTGAAGGAGTCAAAAACTAAAAAAGACTTTTATTTTTCAATATCGATTCTCATTAATAAGACATTCTGTAGCTGGGAGCCAGTGGCTCATACTTGTAATCTTAGCTACTCAGGAGGCCACGATCTGAGGATTGTAGTCCAGACGAGCGTAGGCAGGAAAGTTTGTGAGATTTTTACCTCCCATAAACAACAACAACAACAAAAGGCCCAGGGCTGGGAAGGTGGCTCAGTGGTAGAGCGCTTGC